GGGGGGGCTTCCCATCTTCTGGCTGCTCTCGCTGGCTGTGCTGATTGGTCGCCCTTTGCTGATGGAACTGAGCCTTGATTCCTGATCCTGGGTAGGAGAAAACGTGAAGGAGTGAGAAGCTCCCTCTGTGTAGGGGTGGGGGTGAACCGGAGCCTGGGAAACGAAGGCGGTAGAGCTCAGCAGGCACCGGGGGCAGCCCTCAGCATGGCCTTGCTCAGTGCCGTCACCTCCGTCATCCTGCTCCTGGTTGTGGTGGGGTGACCACTGTACCTGCCCGTGGGGGCCATGCCCAGCTTCGCAGCAGCTCCTTCCCGTGCATTGTCTCACAGCCACAAAGGTCACAACCCCTCGTGGGACTCCGTCCTTATCCGAGACACCAAGGGGACAGTCCCAGGATGGGCGTCGAGCAGCCTGCACCCTCCTGTCTGAGGCCAACAGCAAATGCCAGCTGCTTACCGGGTCCAGAGAGAATACAAATCAGTTCAGGATCAGTTCTGGCTTCTCGAAGGGGTCGAGGGCCAGCCTGTCCTTTCTAAACAGAACCAGCCCTGCGATCCCGTGGGGGTGGGAGAAGCGAGCAGGTGACGAGTCTGACTCCTCCAAATGCGGGACGAGGAGAGAGAGGGCGAAGGACGTGCCGGGAAAGAGAGAAGAAGGCCGAGCTGCTCCCCAAGCCCGTCTACACGTGGACGATCTGGGCCCCAGCACAGGGCAGCTCCGGGGCGCGCGCGCCCACAGCATGGCGAGGAGGGTTCGGTCAGAACCTGTCGATGAGAGCGAGGAGGCCCAGGGAGAAACCACACTTTCCAGAGAAGCAGCCACAAAGTGAGAGAAGGAGCCACAAAGGTGGGGTGTCCCAGTCAAGGGGGGCACCGGACGACTGGACCTGACATGGGCGTGGGAGGGGTGCCATCTCCCCAGAGCGTGACCTGCAGCGGCCATCTGCCCGCCCGCCCGCTGCGCTGTCCACCCAGTGGCCGCTGGTCAGTGCGGCGGCATCGGGGCTGGGGCAAAAGTGGCCTTTCCCCGACTGCCTCCTGCCGACGTCGGTACAGCTGGAAGGCCAGATGAGGGGGAGGATGACCGGTGGTTTGGATTTTGACTTCTTGCATCTTGCACATCCTCAGACACCGGAATGAGGAGGCTCTTGGCTGGACGCGAGACAGGGACAGGAGCGCCTCGGCCCAAGATCCGGCTGCGCTCCCGGCAGGCCTGGAGCGGGCTACTGGGGAGAGGGAATTCCCAGGAATCGACGGTTTGGGTTGCTGTGAGGACAGCACTGTCATATAGAAAGAACTGGAGGGCAGGCAGTGCCTGGTGATTCACCGGGGAACAGTTAGGACAGGCCCGGAAGTCGGATCTCACAGAATGAAGCAGGCCGTGCAAGAGCATGTCCCATCCCAAACGGAGAGGACCGGCCGGGAGTCTGAGGGATGCCGGAGGGAGGGCGACTGGGCTGAAGAGGAGACAAGGCCAGAGCTAGCTGTCATCGTAGCAGAAAAAGGACTTTCTGGACCCAGCAGAAATTCTGTCCCATCTCAGACAGAGCCCCCCCAAAACGGGCAGAGAGCGGAGTCTGGGAGTGACGTCTGCTGGGAGGCTCTAAGTAAATCAGCTTCCTTCACCCACCGAAGTCCGTTGAGCGTCAGCCGTCAGCCAGACACTGGGGTAGAGACTGGAGACACAGTGACGAACAGCAGATGTCACAGGGCCTGCCCTCCTGGGCCTGACTTCTCAACGGCAGGAAGCAAGCAAAAAGCCCAACAAGTGAACAGACTAATAAATACACTAATTGCAAGTTGACCTAGGGACTCTGAAGAAGCCGGGGGCTAAGATGGAGGAGAGCAGAGGGCAATCAGAGAAAGCCTCCTGGAGGAGGTGAGATTTTCATTCCCGAGACCTAAAGGAAGCGAAGAAGCCCGTCAAGCAAAGAGGAGAGGATTACACAGCAATGGCAAAGGTCCTGGGGCAGGAAAGAGTCGGCCAAAGTCAAAGAATGGAAAGAACAGAGCAGGAACGATGCAGGATGACCTTGGCTTTCGAGGCCTTCAGCAGGGAGGTGACATAAACTGCCTCATGTTTTGAGATGGCCATTTTTGCTGCTATGCGGAAGCTAGGTTGTGAGGGCTTCTGACGAATACTTGACTTATTAACAATTTCATGTCTCAAGAGAGCTAGTCCTAGGACGGCCACCATACGGAGGGGCTGTCAGCCAAGTAGAAACGACAGGAACCCAGAAGCAAGCAGCCACGCAACCTGAGCACTCGTGGTATCGGGAAGGACAGCACGGAGTTGAGCGTATTTTTCACCTTTGGCCTGGGAGATCTCAAAAGGCGTTGGAGAGGCTTGCGATTCAAAGACGAGCATCTCAGAAGGGGAGATGAGCTCAGAAAAGCTGGAAATTCTAACTGCGGAATTTACAAATGACTTTCTTCCCAGGGAGGGAAAACTGGGCGGTGACTGTCGACATCATTCCATGGGGGCTTTTAAGGGACAGGTGCTTAAAAAGCAAAGCTGGTCACCTAGTCACGGACAAATAGGAGAGACCCACGACACCGTTAAGATGAATCTCAGGAACGCAAAGCACAACAGAAAGAGAAACTTCAAGACGGTCAGGGCGAGAGGCTGGGGGATGCTGCAGACAAAGGAGCCATGTAGCCAGGAGCCCGCAAAGCAGAATTCCTTCCTGTGTCAAGGCCACATCCTCAGGCGAGGAGGGAGGAAGCCTGCCTGGGGGAGGAAGGCCAGGACGGAGCTCCGGGAGGGCGGGCTGCTGCTCGCTCTGCCATTCGCCGTGTCCTCCGCACAGCTGGCCCCAGCCAGGAACCTGATATCTGCTGGGCGAACGTGTGCACGCGTGTATAAATGAATGAATGGATGACGATGCGGGCATTACCACGCCACTATGCCAAAGATACGTGCGAATTACCCAGGCGGGGGTGGGGTGGGGTGGGGTGGGGGAACGGACTCTCCCCGAAGAGGACTTGGTCCTTCTCTTTGGCTTCCCAACATCTGTTTGGCCTGACCCGCCCAGCCGGGAGCCTCGGAGGGAGGCAGCCATCGCCTGCCTGCAGAGAAGCGATGGGACTTTTTCCTCCCTGGGCTTAGGGCACGGATCTGAGGCTTGGGCTTGGCTGATCGGAGGCTCTTGCAGGGCACACGTGCAACACGGCCAGTGGGGAGATTTTGCCGGTGGCGGTGACGCAGGCGATGCCTCGTCCCTGCGCAGGACCCGTGAGTGTGGCTGGCACGGGCTGCCTTCTGCAGGCAGCGTCCCCGACCCATTCCTGTCTTTCTTTAACGCTTTTTAAATTTTGAAATAAATATAGATCCACAGCCAATGATGGGAGTTGTAGAGAGGCCCCCTGTGCGTTCGCCGGCTGTGGTTACACCTCGGATGAGCATGGCACCAGAGTGTGACCCGATACCCCGTGTGCGTAGATCTGTTTCCGTCTGGTTCTGAGCCTTCCTGCTGGTTGCTGCTCCATCGATATCCTTCCAGTAAATGGTCTTTCTGTCTAAATCAGCCAGCGTCAGTTTTGCCATTTCCAGGATGGGGACAGGGACGGCAAGAACGAAGGGGCCTCTGGCTGCGGAGCGGGGGAGGGGTGGTCGGAAGGAGTGGAATAGGGACTTGACAGTGAATCCTGCAGAGGAGCCAGGGGGCCGGGGGAGGGGACAGTTTGGGAACCGTTCAGAGGTGGATCTGGCGGGTCTGGATTTGGCTGGGAGGAAGAAGGAAGAGGAGGAGGCAGAAGGAGGGGGAGGAGGAACACACTAATCAGAAGTTGACAAGGGCTTTGAGTCATGGCCTTGATTCACTGCAGATTAAATGAACTGCAGTCTTCAAGGAAACGGGAAGCGGCCCCCTCAGACACGTGGGACTCCCAAACCGCTCTGGCTGGGGAGGACCGTGGCCCGGTTCCAGTGGCTGGCGAAGTGGCTTCGGGGCTGGCTTGTGAATCGTGGGTGTCTCCCACTGCGTGAGCACCCCTGCTGGTCTCTGCACGGGCCCCCGGAGCTGGGGTTTGGCTGAGGTTTTCCGGGGCTGATAATCATCTCCTCCCCCCATCGAAGTTTATCTTAACGACTACCGAGATACCCTACATTTCTGAAGAGCCTCTGTGCCAGCTGCTTTTCTAAGTGCTTCACACCTTTGAACTGACAATGTCTGCTGTTCCAGGCAGACGGGAAGGTGGTTCCCATTTTCCAGTGTGACTGAGAGAAAGAGGAGGCAGGTGGATGGAGACCGAAGCGGCCTTTTTATTACCCAAGAGAGGATGTCACAGACCACGCTTGGCCCTGCCAGGTTTCCTCGCCAAGTGGACTTGCCAATTCTCCCCTAAAGCCGCCTGCATGGGGAGCAGGGCACGGCATGCAGAGGGCAGCCCGTCCCTTCTCCCAAACGCGCTGGCCGGGGAAGCCGCCCCTCTCTTGGGAAACGGACAAGCGCGACGGAGAGAGGTCCAGGATCTCCACGGGGAGATGCCGCCCCCAGCAGCGGCGAAGGAGCGATGCTCTGGCAGGAGAGTGAGTGTGGGGCTTTGCTTTCCCGGCACAGACAGCCCTGCTGGGTGGAGGGAGCCCCAGGGGCAGAAGCCGCGAAGACAGCAGGGTGTGAGGCCTGAGGGTTGAACAAAACCTTCGGTGGCGAGTTGGGGACAGAAATGCCCGTTGTTAAGGAGACGGGATGGATGAGACTTGATTTGACTTTAGCTATAAGGGTGCTGGTGGCCCCCCGGGGTCCCGGGGCTGTTCACCGAGACCCAGGTTACTCGAGGAGAAACAGATCGGGGGGAGAAGTAATGAGGTTGGTTTTGAACCGATAGCGATGTTTGGCCCGGTGAGCTGCCGTGGGAGAGATACGGGCTGGCTATGCGCGTTTGAATCATCAGCATGTTCACCCAGCAAATATTTATCCAGCACCTCATACGTGCCCAGAGCTTTCCCAAGCGCTGGGATTGTCATGGAGAAAGATAACTGCCCAGATTGCGTGGAGTTTAGAATACAGTGGGCAGGCAGAGATACGACGAACACATACGTGTGTAAATATGTGATGACAAATCGCTCCAGGTGCTCCGAGAGAGAAGCTGTCTAACAGAGGAGCTCCGAGCAGGCCGGGGGGAGGACCCAGACGGCACGTGCAAAGGTCCCGTGGCAGAAAGAGGCTGGTCTGCTCCAGAGTACGGCCTGAGTGGCAGACAGTGACAATCACAGAGAGCGGTGGACGAAGGTGAGGAGTCGGGGAGGGCGGATCACGTGTGGAGGTCATTCTAGGTCCCATGGGAAGTCATCGAAGAGTTTTACGGAAGGAGCAAGAGCAGGCCGAGAGGTGAGAAGTTCTGGTGACTGGCAATTGAGTGATGGCAATGAAGACGGATGGCAGGGAGGAGAGAAATCTTTGGGGGGCAGAATCTATACGTCTTGGTGATGAACTGGATTTGGGGAGCGGGGCAGAAGGAAGGAAGCTGGACTCCCAGGTTTCCATTTGAGCAGCTGGTGATGGGGTGGGG